TCCGGCCCATTTACGTTTCTGAGATCCACAGTGAATTCGGAAATAAAGCATAGTTGACGAATCTCCCGTGCAGTATAATTGCTGTGATTGCGATGGAAGGCAAACGTCAGGGGCTTGTGGTCTGGAACAACGTAAAAGTCCCGGCCCTCCAATAAATGACGAAAATGTTTGATGGCGAGGTATACCGCGAGGAGTTCTCGGGCAAATGTACTGTATTTTGTCTCTGGTGGCTTCAGTTTTTGCGAGAAAAACCCAAGGGGCTGCCAACCGGATACGTGCTGCTCGAGAACAGCGCCAACTGCCATGCTTGATGCATCGGTGATGAGACGAATTGGGGCATCAGGGACGGGATGTATGAGCATGGTAGCGTCTGCCAGAGGCTTCTTGGCAGTGTCGAAGGCAGATGCAGCGTCCTTGGGCCACTCCAGTGGCGCAGCCGGGTCTTTCTTTTTAGCCAGTAGGTCGGTCAAGGGCTTTAGGAATGTGGCGCACTTTGGAAGAAAGCGGCGATGGAAGTTTAGTAGGCCCAGAAATTCTCGGAGTCTCTTCAGTGAAGTAGGGGGTGAAAAGTCTTGAATAGCCTTCACTTTGCTGGCGAGTGGTTGGATACCCTTTGGAGTGACAAGGTGGCCTAGGAACTCTATTGTAGCGACGCCGAAGACGCACTTATTGGGATTAATTACGAAGCCGTAATCATCCAGGCGGTGGAACAGGGTGCGCAGGTGGGCTTCATGCTTAGGGCCGGATGAGCTTGCTACAAGGAGGTCATCAAGGTAGGCAAATACGAAATTGATAGTGCGCTGAAAGGTCTATGCAGAGTTGCGCAATCCAAAAGGCATCCTCACATATTCAAACAGACCGAATGGGGTGGTGATGGCCGTCTTCGGAATGTCGGCGGGTTCTACAGGAATCTGATGGTAAGCCTTCATTAAGTCAATCTTAGAGAAGATTGTGCACCCAGCCAAGTTTGATGTGAAATCCTGTATGTGAGGAAGTGGATAGCGGTCTGGTAAGGTGTGGGCACTGAGAGCGGGGTAATCCCCACATGGTCTCCAGTCGCCAGGATCTTTCTTCCGCACCATGTGGAGTGGCGACGCCCAGTTGCTGGAGGAAGGCCGCACAATGCCGAGTTCAAGCATGTGCTCAAACTCACGGCGGGCGATGGCGAGGCGTTCTCCAGATAGTCGACGGAGTCGTGTAAAAACGGGAGGTCCAGTTGTCACAGTGTGGTGAGTGATGGAATGCTTCACCGGTGACTCTCTGGTGTGTGACTTCGTGATGCTGGGAAAGTCGTCGAGTATTTTTGCATACGGCGAAGCAGGTGTGAGAGCTCGCAGTCCCGTTGGAGAGGAAGTACAGAGTACAACGCTGATGGAGAGGCGGGTGTTGAGATCAATGAGGCGATGAGCATGCATGTCCACAGCAAGGTTGAAAAAACTGAGGAAGTCAGCTCCAAGAACAGCTTGCAAGACGTCAGCGAGGATGAAAATCCAGCGGAATGTACGGCGTAGTCCAAGGTCAAGTGTAAGAGAGCGTTGGCAGTATGTGCGAATGGCGGAATTGTTGATCGCTTGCAGTGGGCAGGTCTGTTCGTTGCGATGGCGATCTGCAAACGAGGCCACGATGACGCTAACCTGGGCTCCTGTGTCGACTAGGAAGCAAGCGCCAGTGATCTTATCAGAAACATAGAAAAGGCGGCATGACTTTCGACCAGTACCACTTGCCGCCGTCAGTGGCCGGTCATCGCATTTCCCAACCAGGAGCACGGGCGAGTGCACTTGCGAGCAGAGGCACCGAATCGACGGTGGTACCAGCACACGGTTGAAGATGAAACGTCCCGCGGCGCGTCGGGTGGCCGAAGTTCCGGAGAACGTGGGGGTGTCGAGGAGCGACTGTGTATCTGCAACCTGGATGACGGTCGATGATGCGCAGGTACAAAGTCATCGAGGCGCCTGACAAGGGCGTCCAAACGGTTCTCGATGCTCGCGAGCGCCGGGTCTGCAGCGGTGGCCGGTGGCGGTGTAGTAACGGCGTTGAGGCTATGTGCCCGCGAGTAGTCCGCCACTCGGTCAGCCATTTCAGCGAGTGTGTCTAGTGGGATATATCCTGCAGCTACGAGGACCGGGACCATGCTCTGCGGTAAGAGCTGGAGGAACAACTCACGTAACAGCTTCTCCTCTTGAGGGGCGGAGGGGCCGCCAAGAAGCTGGCGCATGCGTCGCAGGAGCTGTGATGGGCGACGGTCACCGAGCTCTGTAGCCGTGATGAGCTGTTGGAGTCTGCTGTGTTCGGACTCAGACTTGCGGGAAATGATAGCTGCCTTCAACGTGTCGTAGGGAAGGGTCGGGTGCGGCGACGCTAAAATATCAGCTAAGTCGTCGGCTACGTCAGGAGGTAAGCAGGATACCAGATGCCAGTACCTGGTCTGTTGGCTGGTGATTTGCCGTAGACGGAAGTGCGCCTCGACCTGCAGAAACCATGTGCTGTGGCTGTTGGGCCAGAATGGTGGCAGGTTGACATGTTGAATCGCAGCAACTGCAGCACCGCTAGGTCTGGCGTCTTCTTGGGCGTCAGGACCGGTAGGATTGGTGGCAGAGCTGGCGGGATCCATGAGGGATGATCGGGGCTGTGTGTTCGTTATCGGGTCACCCTTAACTGTCGGAGCTTACACGGGAAAGATCCAGCCCTGACAGCTTTCGGTTTTCGAACAGATTTTTTTTTTATCGCGCTGCACGCGCCGCGCGGCCCAAATGCCAACTTCTTCCTCCTTGACGCGCAGCGCATTGAGGCGCTACACATTCTACAACTTTATCGCGATCGTCATAAACACCTTCGCCCTTGAGCTATTAAATTAAATCGGCTTTAAGAGGAAACGCGAAGTCAACGTGTGACTCATTCCCCTTTTAGCATACCAGAACCTTTGCCTGAAAACCTCGGGTGACAACTTATAACGTCTCAAGAGCACTTTCTTAACCTCGTCATAGCTCCCAAATGCTTCCCTTGACAAGCACGTTATCACGTCGGACATTTTGCCGGGAAGAAGAGCCAACAGGTTCCACGCCCAAAGAGACCGCTCCAAAGAATTTCGCTCACAGACGTGTTCAAACTTGACGAGATACTTCGCCATGTCCTTGCCTACTACGAACGGTCGCAGTTGGTCCCGAATTGTATAACCGCTGACCTGAACTGTTGGAGAAGCTACGCTAGGCGCCTGCGAACACTGTAGGATTGCCAATTCTGTTCGTTTCAACTCGAGGCGCTCCTGTCTCTCGGACTCCTCACGCTCACGACGTTCGCGCCTTTCAGCTTCTTCACGTTCGCGAACTTCTCACCTTTCAGCTTCTTCGCGTTCGCGAACTTCTCGCCTTTCAGCCTCCTCGCGGCGTGCTTTGATATCCACCCAGGCTTCATCGACTTCCTCAGCCGATACTCCTTCATCCTTCATGTTCTCAATGATCGCCTGCTTTCGTTTCGCACGGCCCAAAGTAATGCCGAGTTCCTCACAAATTTCGATGAGTTCCTTCACTTTAAGGTTCTCCATCGTTCAAACTAGCCTCTTGCTGTTTCCCCTGTTAATAATCTACTTGCCGTACCGACTATAAGTCAACTAGCAAGACGCGCAAGCAATTTTTCACACTCCCGTGTTTACCCCCTCCGCATTAACTTTGGTTTCAAAGCGCTTCGACTTTGCTTGAAACGATCAAAGCTCACTCTAATGCTTCACACAGCCCTTCTCTTAACTACTATAACCAGTGCTAGAGTAGTCTGGTGAACTGAGGGGAAAACATCAGGCACTCACCGCATCAATGTTGCTGACGCCGGCCGATCCTGCAGCTGCCAACCACTGTTACGAAAGGCGGCGACGCCAACACGGTCCCGAAGGCGCCACTGCTTCGATCTCCGCTGACACGGTCACCATCCGTTTCGTAGCGTAGGTTTCTCAGCTCGCAACTGCTTCTGCGCAGAGCTGATAGACGAGCGGACGAGACGACGGTGAGTTAAAGCAAGGTTTATGTACAGCATAGAAAGAGAGGCGTTACAAATTCCGCACTGGGGCCGACAGCTTAGAGACTCGAAGAGCCGAGCTCTCTTCTCTGAAACACAGGTCTACTGCCGGCGATGCGCCCCAGGGCTGTTTTTAAGGCACCGGGTGGATCCTTTGAGTAACCAAATGTCCAACCAGAAGCGCCGTTGGCCGTGAGGTCAAAATCCTCCGATGGGGCTCGCCGCTGGGCCGCGTCATTCTCATCAAATCCGGAGTGGCTGCGCATGGTTGCAGCCAAGGACGAGTGACGTCGCCACGCATTGCGTAAGACTCGCCAGACTCGAAGGCCACGAAGGCTTCGACGGGCTCGTGGGCTGAGGGGGCTCGCTGTGCGTTGCGCGACCGACCGGCACCGCCACGTGATGACACCGTTGAGTTGTTCGCGTCAGGTGGGTTCATGTGCTGGCCTTGACACAGATTGCCTTTGCCTTTTTCAGAGGCATGGACGTTCGGTGTGGACTCGCAGGCATAACAGGGTGTACAACTGATCCGGGGACCCGCTCCCCGTGGGGATGGCAGGACAGCTATCACAGCGGACACCAAAAGCATTCAGCGCCGTCACAATACGTGTGGCTAGTTGACTTATCATAAGAGTCCTGCAGCAAACACGTCCTCAAACAGGGTAGGTAGATGAAGCTGGCTCCCAAACAATGATAAAGTGTGACATAAAGTATATTTTAAAAGGTTTTTTTTTTATCTCTTGTGGGTTGTAAAACAATAGCCCTAAATAAGGAAGAGCCCTAAAAATTCTAGGGTGGGTAGGGACCGTAACTAATCATATTTTACTAATGAAGGAATGCCTTTTCTTCAGTGCTATTTGGTTGATGTATATATGTGGTGATTCTAATAAGCAACAACGATAAAGACAGCTACATTATTTTCTGTTCTTATGTACCATGGTGCACGAGCATGAATATTTGCTACGTAATGAGCAATACAAAAAAGAGCCACCCACCTGACAGAAATGCCCTCTGGATGAAGTCTGAAAGTCTCAAGCTAAGTGAGAAGCCTTCCGTGTTACCTTCGTGTGTGGCTAGCCCTAAGTAAGAATGAAAATAAACATTCTCGTAAACCTTTCAATGTAGAGGTTCATGTACGAGCTGTCTTAAAAAAGTAATGAGACTGGCAACACTGCACACAATCTAACAATGTACATTCTCATGAACCTTTCAATGTAGGAGGTCTTGCAGTTATAAACCCAGCCACTTTAATGTACACTCAATTCACAATTTGGCTTACAGTTGCATGTACGAGCTGTCTTAAAAAAGTAATGAGACTGGCAACACTGCACACAATCTAACAATGTTGTGTCAAACGGCCTGCCATAAAAACGTGTACGTCTGGCCAAGAAGTACCCGTAACACTTTTTGAAAAGATAACGTCACTCCTGCCACATACTTTCCAAAGTGGCAAAGTTGGCTGGGGCCCCTTCTAACTTTTCCTCACTCCAGGTGTTCAATCCAAGCGATAGTCCAAGCTTTCCACAGTCTTCTTGCTGCCTTTGTGCTTCTTTTGAGTATTTGCAGCAAGCAGGCAAGCATGCTGTGTGTGCTTAGTTCTTAAGCCTCCCCTGGATGCCTCCAACTGTTAGCTACAACAATGTGCACTGTTGAAGATTTGGTGACAATATTTCTTCTTTTAAGAAAAAAAGTGAAGCAAAGCTTAGGAAGTTGCTCATTAAAGTAAAACCTCATTAATTCAATGTCACTGGATATGCGAGAAGTCTTCAAATTAAACGAATTTCAAAATTAACAAAACATACAAAAAGTGGGATGCAAGAAACTTAGAACTGTTTAAAGTAATCAGGGCTTGTTGTTTGCTGAGCCGATTAGCTTGTGGCCTCAAGGGTTATGTTTTCCAGCAATACCTGGTCTTAATGTTGCCACAAACACGGGAGAATGATGGCCCTCGCTGGGGCCACTGAAAAGAAAAGAAAAACAAAAAAGCCTGTCGTAATTAACTGAAATACGTGCCTGTAGAAAACGAGACATCTTCACTGCAGCACAGTAACGACACGCGGGCAGCTTGTCGCCTGCTCCTCGTTGCGTTCGCATGTCATGATGTGACCATTCGCGCATTTTTTCTGGTATAATTAGGAAATTAATAATGGCCAGTATGACATAATTTGCTATGAGTTATGGCTGGAAAAAGTGACCTTCGAACTTTCAAACTTAGTTTTCGAAGTAGGTGTTGCTGGCAAGAACTCCGCTATCAGTGCAAAGGCGCAAATGGCTGGACCAACTGGCAATCGGTGGTTTGCATACATCACGATTTCCACCAAACCACCTTTTATTAATTTCTTTGCACTCCCAGGAAGAATGGGTAAACCGTGACCCGCTGACATCGCGAAACACATGAAATCTGCTGCCCGCACGTCATCGCTGTATTGCAGAAAAGCACGTCTCGTTTTCCACAGGCGTATGTTTTTGTTGACCACGAGGCCGTTTTCTTAATTTTTTTTTCGAGGCTGCGGCGCTTCAGCTGCCACTGATTAGTATCGCTACGTGGCATTGCCTTTTGGCTATGAAAGACAGTCGTTTCTGCGAATTTGCGGTCTAATAGGGATCTACAACGGCCTCCAAAGTTCTGAAATTAACCGAACCGAATTAACCGCCTCTACAAATAATCCCCTCAAACGTGCATTGCAATATTCGGGACCACGGAAATCCTTTGAATTAGGCGGGTTTCAAAATAACCGAGTTCAAACTAATGAGGTCTTACTGTATTAAACACCAAAGATGTAATATTAAGCTTCAACAATTAAATTCTTCCGCAACATACCATGAACAATGATATTTGGTTGAAACAGAACAAATGCCACACTGAAGGACACTGTAGGGCAAGTAGGATGTCTGTAGCCAATTTTCATCAGGTAGTCACTCCTTTCCCAAAAGAACTTTTCAGTGGCAGGGTGGTCCTTTGCACTCCCATCAGCCAATGTTTCTTGCCAGCCCTGTAAGGCAATAGAACCAATATGTCTCACATTAAGCACTGAAATACTTGAGTTGATAAATGTAGTTTCTTTATTATTTCTTGAATCGGACAGATGCCCTCGAACTCAGAATAAGGAACAAAATGTGCATCTTTAATAAAACAACTGACCAAACTACCAAGTGTAAATTAATATGCTTTATAGTGATACAACCATACAGAATCGAATGTAAGTTTAAATTGGGACAGACAGTGATTAATAAGTCTATGCATAGGTATGAGGGAGCACAAGGGGGCAAAGGGGGTGACCGCCACCCCTAGTCACCTAATAAGCGAGGAAAAACTCTGTCCCATACATCAACTAAACAAAAGGGGGGGGGGGGGGGGCAACATCTGGCCCATACATTCGCTTAATAGGAAAAGGGGCACTGCAATGAACCTTCGCCCCGCCCTGATAGGGAACTTTGCGCACACCTATGAGTCTATGATAAAAAATAATCTGGATTCCCTCAGCACAGCACAGTCCATAATTACAGTATAGGTTTCATGCATAAAACCCCTGAGTTTTGAAGTAGTAGCAATAAAACTGCATGCCATACCACTATAAAGTTGGTACCACCGCTGGAGCCACTCCACATGATCTCAAAGTCATGAACATAAGTCAACAGTAATTAGGTGCTTCATGCTCATTGTTAAAGAAAGCTTTTCTATAAGCCAAATCTGAACTATATCAACAAAAAAAAAGCCAAAGTTTGGTACAAGCCTTGTGCTTAACCCTATTCAGGAGATTCTATGAAGCAGTAATTAATTAGGCAAGTGAATTTAGCTACCAAAAACACAGAAAGCTAAATATATGATCCTATTTCAGTAGTAAATAATTATTTCAGCATGAACTTGAGTCTTTTAAATATTAAATAGCAGATTCTATTAATTTTGTTTGGGATAATACTTTTTTCAAGCTATCCAGCATCACAAAAATTAAAAAAAATAAACTCTGGCAAAGTCATTTGTCTGCAAACTCTTTACAATTAGGTAAAAAAAAAATGACTGTCAGAAGTAAAAGCCAATGCAAATCACCATACCATTGTTTGCTGCAAATATTATTGTACTTTTTGCAAGGCATGCTACAGATCATTTCCAGAGAGTCCTCATCTCAATGGGCATGAGACGTGCTGTATGACTTCTCGCTAAATGTAGCCTCAATGAAATGTGCCAGATATGAAGAATTGGAATTTCAATAATCTGAAGCATGACCACCCGCCCCACAACTCACAAAACTGTCCTGAATAGAGGCTACAGTCTCGCGTCCTGCAAGAGAAACAAAAATATTGAAAGGCTTCCTGCATTTCACATTTTATTATTATTTGGCAGAAGCTTGAGTTCAGCTGCATCTCTTTACCCTGTTTGGCGATGCATTAGCTGCAAGCACTAGGCTTCTTATAAAGTCACAAATGTTCAATACCGGCAGCTGGATGCACAGGATTCCCCGAATGAAGGCAGTGAACTCTCACACATTTGAACATGTGAGTGCCATTATGTCTTCCTACTGGTAGGATGCTGCTAAAGTGCCCTGCAGCACTGGGAATGATTGTAAGACTAAACCTTCGCAACTACAAGAGTATGCATATTGTTACGGATAAGACGTGATGCTGTATCGACGAGGCTGTGGATGAGATGTATTTAAAACCAGCAGTAATGATGCGACCGGTGCACCAGCGATCGAGCGGAGACAACCCTTCGTCTTTCTTGTAAGGCACACACGCATGTCGCCGCCCAGAACATCGATATGCATAATGCATGCACGTGGTAATATCAAGGCTAATTACTGACAGGCGAACAAATTAAACAAAAAGAATGATTGGCTGCAGCGTTTGCGGCAAAGATTTCGAAACAATGAGAGATAACTCCTCGCTACCCCTCAAGTGGAAGGTGTACAAAGTATACAGACACTGCATACTGCCAGTATTAATGTATGCAGAGAAAACTTGCGAGGATAATAAAGAAACTCAAGAAGATAAGAGCAGAATGGTTTAAAGAACAGGAATACATGACGTTCTAGTTGACATGATAAAAGAAAAAAATGTTGGATGTTTGCTTTAGTGATGCAAGGCTGGACTAACAGCTGAAGTTGTGGCTGACATAGATTATCAGCAAAGTTTTCATTAAGAAGGCCTTAACTTGGCAGTCCTAATTAGCACAGCATTATTTAAAATTATAATTACTATTGCCTTAACTAACACATTTTATTACCAGTCTTAATCAGAAAGCCCCACTAACCTAGGTTTTTAAGCAGAATAAGCCGAGCCACAAATATTTCACTATGTGTTATATTTTTTCTAAACTAAAAAAGTACTAGATTGATAGCTGCAATTCTTTAACGCCTTCAGGTGCCTTAAGCACAACTGTACACGAACTTCGGAGGCGCGTCACACACCACGTTTCTTCAAATGACTTGAAACGCAGTGGGCACATTCATGGACGCTTCTCGAGTAAACTACTAATGCTCATTTAACTTCAATGTGCTACATATTACTTCAGAGAATTATTCTGCTAGAGACACTACCATGCTTGACAATCGTTCAATGTGCCGCATTCCCAGACCAATGTCAAGAGTAGTTTTTTTTTTCTTTGCTGAAAACGAAGGCAACCAAGAGACAAACTGTGCATGCATTTTGGACGTAATATTTGGTTCTCTTAATGCAAGCACTGAAGCCTACTGATGGCAATATATTTAGATATTTATTTGCATGCTAATTAACATTCATTACTGAAACTTAGAAAAATAACACATTTCTTTATTTTTTTTCTTGGAAATTAGTACTGAGTGCCTTGAAATGATGCCATGTGAATTTGACATTTCCGGACAGTGCATCCCAATTCGTGCTTGAAGGGGTTAAATAAACATAATTATAATTTGAAACAATTAGAAAAAGTATTATATTCTTTTTTTTACTTTCTATTCAAATGTTTTTTTTTAAACATCAGGTTTTTTTTCTTTTCACAAATTTTTTAACAAAGGACAAATTGATTATGTGCATCCTAATTCGTGCTTGAAGGGATTAAATAAACATAATTATAATTCGAAACTTTTAGAAAAAGTATTATATTCTTTTTTTTACTTTCTATTCAAATGTTTTTTTGAAACATCAGGTTTTTTTTTTCACAAATTTTTTAACAGAGGACAAATTGATTATTGTTTTATTCTTATTAAGATAAATACCCCCTGAAAGCACATTTATTTACTTTGACTTCAATATACTAATAACACTGTAAACCTATCAGCTGTCACAGAAAAAAAAATATTCTTAACTGAAACACACAAAACAGTCCATTACCGCTTTGTAAGGCAACGGTTGAAATAATAGCATAGCTATTACTTGTAAAGATTCTGTCAGAAATATTCTTTTAAATACTCTAAAAAGAGAACTGATTTCAAATGCATATTCCCACCCACAGAGTTGTGAGTGGGCATGTTAGCATTGAATACTGAACTTGGACAGTGCACGTGAGGGGAGCAAGAATGATGAGATGGGATGAAGTGCCAGCTTACAAGATTATATTAAAAGAACATCCACCAAGGTGCTCAGCAAACTGTACTGGTTTGCTGTTGTACTGTGCTGTTTTGTCTACCCTCATCCCCTGCTAGTACTGTTCTATTTAATCTTACCATTGGGTCACAGTATCCCTGTAAGCCAGAAACGGAACTGTGTAAGCAGAAAAGAAAACTGAAAAGCTTACTTCTAGCTCAAATCCAACTTCAGTCATGAGCACGTGGACTGCCAAGGCCAGTGCTTCGCGGCTATGGTTCACGTTGCATGTCATGTGCAACTCTTCCAACTGCTTAGGGAGCGGCATGGTGAAATCTTGTACCTGGTAGCAATACTGTGGTCGTGCTTGTTCCCTACTTTATAAGGTAACAAAAAAAGATTTGAAAGGAATATCATTAAACAAAACTTTTGGTTATTCTCGCAGATTGATAAACAAAATGTAAACTCACTGAACCCTAGCTTATCATGCTATAAACATAAAGTGCGGCACCTAGAGAAACAAAATTACAGGTATAAACACCGTTACTGATATATTAGATTCCATAAAGTTCAGTAATGTTGTAGAAACATTATAAAATGTCAACACACACTCCTCAAATCAAGTTAGATTGCAGTGCTCGCAAGCAATACAAGTACAATGCTAAGTAATACACTGCAACAATGTTCCTGTGCACAGGAAAAAACTTTGGTCCTGATTTCATGTCAGCAATATATTAGACACACATACACAATAACAGGAGAACAATCAAAGGCTTCTTCTTTGTTATACACAATCTCAGGATATCGACAATAAAGTAAGAATACGGGGACATTATTTGTGGTTTTGCATGGTAGTATAATAATTATTACAAATGGAAAAGAATTAAGATGGATATAAAAAGAAGTTGCCACAAGAAGAGACTGAACTGCAAGATTTCGATAATGAATCACCGACACACCCAAGTTACCATTCTAGCAAGATAGTATGTTGGTTTATGTGCATAAGTGCTTGTATTGTGTTCTCTTCTTTGTTCTCATTCAATTTGTGTAATCCAAACACGTCAATACTGAATCATCGACTAGCCCACGTTACCATTCCATCACTTTGAATAATACGCCTGACAGTCTACAAAATTTTTGACCACATCAATTTATTTCCATTTATAAAATGATTACCATACTAGTTGCTATACGGTTGAATATTTACATGACAGAACTAATTTAATGCACTACCTTGGCCATATGTTACAGAAAGCCAAAATGATTAAGTGACTGAAAAGCAACATGGAAAGAATTACATTCAATATGATTGGAACACGACATAATACAATGAGCAAATTGAAGCATGTTAAAGTTTGGTGGCCTTGTAAAGCAATAAGCTGGGGCTGAAAATCAGACAATACAGAACACAGACAGTTTAATAGAGACCCAAATCTCTCTAGCACTATTTTTGTCTCTTCCAAGTTGGTACATGCAATATTGCTGCGGTTTATTTATATGAGCACATAACTTTAGCTTTGGAGACTCCCACAGACAATATAAAATGATGAACCCAATGGTAACTAAAACTGCTACATGTAAATGTTGTTCCTTGCATTAGATTTTTGATGTCTCTACATTAAAGCTTGTTCATATAAACAACCATTTTCAAAAGTCCTAGTAAGAAAAAAAGTTAAGCTGCTCTCAAATAACATGTCTGACAATGTTTTGGCGTGCATAATTGCAGCATCCATCTTATTCAGTAAGACATACAATCGCGCCGCAACACTGGCTCTAGCATATTGCATGCTACTGCAAACTGTAATGGAAACCAACTGGTACTAATATAAAATGCAAATGCAAGAAAATAGATGCCTAGGCAAGGCTGCTAATTGAGGTATATTGATTGATATTCATTTTGATTACTACAGCACAAAAAATCACAGAGGATGACATGAAGCACCTGAACCGTGGTGAAATTTCGAGTCATATTTCAGTGAAAGGTACACAGAAATATATATATACCTTACTTTGGAACCCAAACGCAGAACTGACCATGCACAGGTGTAGCTGTTTGTCGCTTGTACTGCCGATGTCTGGGCAATAAAGTAAGATGCATAAAGTTTTTGAGAGGGTTTCTATCAAGATTTCGTGAGACTACACCTGCCCATGTACCCAGTGCTCTGCAATGCTCAGGCTAGACTCAATTTCTGCCAACATTCCCAAGTTTGCATGACACAATCGCCGGCATCTTTAGGTTACAGCAGATGTACTACCAAATTACACAACGCGATCGCATGCTGCTGGAAGTATTTGAAAGCAAAATGAGTTTTTTTTTTTTACCTTTCGCATATAATTCTAGCGTGGTATTACATGCACAAACACACATACGTACCGCACCACTATTACAATGACGTAGCTTTTTGTGAAATGGACATGCCGACAGCGAAAAAATAAGAAGTTCTTTTAAGTTCCCGCTTCAAGTAGCACCCACACATTGCAGCACAACACGTTTAAAGTCGCAATCACATATGGTAACGTGGTTTCACGGGGAAACGAACTAGCGAAGTTCAAACCGAATTTGAAAACAGCGCCACACAAACGCGCGTCACTCGTTTTAAAAAATCTAACATAAAACTCTTGCGCTCGAAAGGCTTCAACTTCGCGGCTGCATTTCCGATGGAGATGGAAATGTTGTAGGCCCGTGTGCTCAGATTTGGGCGCACGTTAAAGAACCCCAGGTGGTCGAAATTTCCAGAGCCCTCCACTACGGCGTCTCTCATAATCATATGGTGGTTTTGGGACGTTAAACCCCACATGTCAAGGCTTCAACTTCGATTAACGCGCTGATGGCTCACAATGATTACCGATTACAGAAGAGTGGTTACGGTACTCGGCTGTTGACTCGAAAGACGCGGAATCGACCCGGGCCGGCCCGCGGGTGTCGCGGTCTCATTTTGATGGAAGTAAAATGCTAGATTGTCGTGTAATGTGTTATTTTAGCGCACATTAAAGAACCCCAGGTGCCAGACATCTGAAGCCCTCAAGAATGGCGTCCCTCACAGCCTGAATCGAATTCGGAAGTTAAAACCTATAAACGAACCAACAATGTAAAATACAAGCTTGACACTTGCAATGTTCAAATGGCACATCAAATGATGCCGAGTGCGCGCGAATATCTTTTCTAAGAATGATGAAAGTTGACACATCAAGAGAATGCAGAGAGTAATTGATGAAAAATTTGGACGCACGAGTACGTGCACTGCAAAAGCGAAAGTCGACATATATCGCGTGTTTACGTACCTCATCGCTGGTACAGAATGCGTTCTAAACGTGCCAGCCCTTAGGCATGACATGAAGAGGCTTTTCCATAAGTTATCACATTTGTAAGTGCGTATGCATCCTCTGAGAACTCCCAATGTGCGAGCTCCTCAGGAAAATTTTTCGCTGCAGGCCGCAGCAGCAACATCGAATACATTTGCGCCCCTTACGAAGCACGGGAGACGTGAGCACGCGATGGGTTGCCAACAACGCTCGAGCTGTCTCGGCTGGTTTCAGTTTCCTTTTTTGGTTTTTCATCAACAAAACCAAAGTGCCAGAGAACGAATACGATCGAGGTTAAGCAGATGAATCCAAAACGGCTGTGGGCCTTCAACAGCTGCGCCATCCATGATTGTACGTACGTACATTAGCGAGCCAACTTCATTCATCAGAAGCCCTTCAGAACTGCGAGGATGTCGGTATGATTGTGTCTTTAACGACCGTGCTTTTACCCACAATTAAAGTATGTGGCACACGGTAGCTTCGTTGCGGCTTCGGGTAGCGTGCACGCGAAGTCGTAACGCTCAGGCATGGCGGAAGCTGTTGAAGATGAAGAGCTTTATAAGACCACTCAATAATTGGCCGATCCTCCACAGTATGAGCCACAAGCGAAGGGCAACAAGAACAAGAACGCCGCCGCAAGGGAAAGCGCATGACACTAGGAAAAAAAAAAAACTGTGGACCCTACCCAAACGGAACCCTGATGTGATGCGAAGCAGCAGCCGTGCGTACGGCGTTGACCCGGTTGAAACGGGCGTCGACGCGGATGGAAGAACGGTTTGAAGCGAAGCTCGGTGTAGCGCTGGTAGCGCTTACTCGAGTAAACGTTTGTTTGAATTAAACGCAAAGACAGGGGAGGTGGGACACGTTGAAGACGCTTGCGCTCGGCTTTCTTGGCTCGCGTCTCGTCGGTGTTACCCGCGCACCGTCTGTATTCTCGAACGCTATCGGCGTTCTTAATGGCCAAACCACATAAGCGCGAAAATGCACGCGACAGCGACGAGCGACGCTATGAGCGACGAAACAGGGCGTTCGCGCGACGTGTCGCGTGCTCGTTTTCGCGCAATTGCTCGGTTCTCCAGATTTGGAAACCGTCGCTCATCGCCCGGAAGTGCTGGGCAGCCAATAGCGATATACCGGAAAAGACAAAGACTACATAGGTGCACGTGACCCTGCCCGAGTCACGTATGTGCAACAAGAAATAACGCAATGTTTATTACACATGTGCATATAAAAAAGTGCTGCAAGGCAATAATAAACACTTTCCGTTTCATTACACAACAATATATCTTATTTTTAAATTGCATACCGCTCGCTACGCGGTTTTCTTAGTGCGAGTAGACGGTCTCATGTCAGCAACAGTAAAATTCGTTCGCCGAAGCCGTCGCGTGAATGAGGTTTGCCTGCGCTAGCGACTGATCGCGCGAAGCCGATCTACGTCGCGTCGCTTGTCGCTGTCGCGAGCATTTTTGCGCTTATGAGGTTTGGCCTTAACTCGCACCTCGTCGGTTTCGCTGGTATTCCACTGCCGACGCTTGCGTTCCGCTTCCCTGGTTCTCGCCTCGTCGGTGTTGACGTCGCCATTCGCGAACGCGATCGGCTTCGCTACCCTCTCAACGCCGGCGACAGCCGGGAAGCATGCCGCGACGGCGTCACACCCATCGGCGCGATCGCGCGGCAAGCAGCGGCACCACAGAACACCTACCAGTGGCGGCACGCTGTCCACATTGTCGGCGCCGTAAGATTCTCGAGGCGCGCGCAGCGCGCCCACCCGCCGGCTCGCGGCTTCTTTTTGCCGACAGATGAAGAGAGGTGGCGCGGGTGAGATGATGCCCTTCACTTCGATGGGCGGCTAGGTCATGAGGTGGGTTGGCGACTTGCAGGACGCGCAGTGGTTTTTTTAGGGGGCAAGCGAGCCCTTCGGGGTGCAGGATGGCTAGTAACGAGGAAAACAACCAGGGAGACTCTTCGACAGGTGGTATGGACAGATACGATTCCAAAGTGGCACCAATATCTAAGATAGGTAGAGTCCGGGGCATAAATAGACGTAGCCACGAGCGCCGAGCCAATTCAGACATAGGGTATATTAACATGCAGGGTGGTAGGAACAGGCTGAAGTGGGAAGAGATAGAAGAACAGCTAAGGGAAGAGAGACCGATGGTATACGGTTTTGTAGAAACACATCTCAGGGACATGGAACAACCTCCGAACAATTCATACTACGCGTGGCAATATTGTAATAGAACAGAAGGCAGCAGAAAGGGGGGTGGTATTGGGGCATTCATTCATAAAAGTACAGACTGGCAAAGGGTCAAGTAGGAGTGCAAGGAACATTTATGGCTAAAAGGGAAAGTGGCAGGTCAAATGACACTCCTTGGTCTCGTATACTTGTGGACGAGAGCAAAGGCCAGAGAGGAAAACCAGGCAATGGTAGAGTGTATATCAAAGGACATTCAGGAGTTAGGAAGAGAGTGCGAGATAATTATACTAGGAGACATGAATGCACACATAGAGGATATAGATGGGTATACCGACCCGACAGGCAAAATTATCATGGATATGTGTGAAAGGCTTGATTTGATCATTTGCAACAGTACCGAGAAGTGTGAAGGGCAAATAACATGGGAGGTAGGAAGGCTGCAGTCAACGATAGATTGTGCACTGATGTCACATAGAATGTATGATAAGCTCAGGGGAATGCACATAGATGAAGGTGGCTCCAGAAGTCTGGGTAGTGATCACAAACGTATCAAGTTAAGTTTTGGAAGAGCAGTGAAAGTGGGAAGGAGACAAGATGAGCAACTACAGGAAAATTTTTATCCAGAAAGGCAAATTGAAATAGCCACTAAACAAATTGAGAAAGTAATCATGGAGGATAATAAGACAGTGTAAACATACACAAAACTAATTAGACTCTTTGAGCTAGAGCTTGCTAAGACGCGTGACAAGTCACCCCGGAAAAGAAGACACAAACCCAAAAGTTGGTGGGATGAGGAAGTTAAGAGAGCCTTAGCAAAACGTCAGGAAGCCTCTAGGGAACACAGACATGCTAAGCAGCGGGGTGAACCGACAGATGATGTTGAAAGAAAATGGGAAACCTTTCTAAGCTGTAGAAGGGATGCATCCCTTCTGATCAATGAAAAGATAAGAAGAAAGGGAGCTCAGTGGCTGGCAGAAGCACATAAAGAAGATAGAAAGGTAGCTGCGAAATTTTGGAACCATCTAAACTCCCTAAGAAATGAGACGAGCCTAGAGCAGAGTTTTATAACTACAGCCCAAGGTGCTAGGCTAGAAGGGGATGAAGCTATTGAATATATAAGAACAAGGATGACAGAAAAATTTCAACAAAGAAGTACTTTATGCACCACAATAGACAAGGACGAATCAAGTGGTGCAATGGCTCCATTTTCACGAGAATGGGAAAGGGCTGAGAAAAGGGTTCCTAGTAGTACACAAACAGGCCCAGATGGCATTCCAATTATGCTGATTAAGACATTAGGTCCGAAGTTTAAGCAGGCTTTGAGAGAGGCAGTGAGCAAAATAATAATTGATGGTGAAGTTCCCGATGGATGGAAACTTAGCAGGATGAGCATTATCTATAAAGGAAAGGGGGACAAAGCTGACATAAACAACTACCGTCCTATAACAGTGACATCAGTGGTCTACAGGCTGGCGATGCAGATTATAAAGGAAAGACTGCAGGCATGGATAGAGGATGAGGGGGAGCTGGGGGAACTGCAGAATGGGTTTCGGAAACACAGGAGGTTGGAAGGCAATCTGTTCTCACTGACGCAGTGCATCGAAATAGCAAAAAAGGAACACGGGCCCCTGTGGCTAGCATTTTTGGATATCAAGGGAGCGTACGATAGCGTGGTTCAAGAGGAATTGTGGGGAATACTGGACACACTAAGCATGGAACATGTAGTCACTAATCTTCTAAAGGGTATCTATAAAGGTAACAAGGTAGTTATAAAGTGGGAAAAACAGGTATCCAAGCCTGCAGAAGTAAAACGGGGGCGTATGCAGGGGTGCCCCCTGTCACCCTTATTATTCGTGATGTACCTACAAGGATTAGAAGCCAAATTAGAGGGAAGTGAACTGGGCTTCAACCTCTCTTTAGTCAAACAAGGAAAACTTATTGATCAGGCACTACCAGCATTAATGCACGCAGATGATATAGTGCTAATGGCCAACAACAAGGAAGATTTGCAGAGATTGATGGACATCTCCGGTAATGAGGAAGATAGGTTAGATTTTAGATTCAGTAAGGAAAAATCAGCAGTTATGATTTTCAATGACAACGAAGGTAGTGAGCTTAGAATACAGGAGGTCACGCTAGAGATAACAAATAAATACAAATATCTGGGCGTATGGATAAGCAATGGGACCGAGTACCTGAGGGAACACGAAATATACGTGATGACTAAAGGTAACAGGAATGCAGCAGTGATGAAAAATAGGGCACTGTGTAATTACAATAGGTATGATGTTGTGAGAGGAATATGGAAAGGAGTCATGGTTCCTGGGCTGACGTTCGGCAATGCGGTCTTGTGCATGAGATCAGAAGTTCAAGCAAAATTATAAATTAAGCAACGTGGGATAGGCTTGCTTTAGGAGCTCATGGGAATACACCAAATCGGGGAGTACAAGGTGATATGGGATGGACATCATTTGAGGGCAGGGAAGCTAGCAGCAAGATAAAATTTGAGAAGCGATTGAGAGAAATGGGGGAGGAGCGTTGGGCTAGGAAGGTTTTCAGCTACTTGTACATGAAGAATGTTGATACAAAATGGAGGAAGCAAACCAGGAAATTGACTGGTAAATACTTAGAAAACAGCAGGAGGCCAAACCAAAAAGAACCATCGGTTAAGAAGAAAGTGAAGGAAACGGAGACTGACATGTGGAGAATGGGCATGATTAAGAAGTCCACACTAGAGATCTATCGAACTTTTAAGCAGGAAATTGCCAAGGAAAGGATCTATGATAATACTCAGGGTAGTTCTCTACTGTTTGAGGCCAGAACGGGAGTACTGCAAACGAAGACATATCGGGCCAAATACGAAGGGGTAGACACAGTATGCAGTGCGTGTGGAGAGGAAGAAGCTGCCAAAGACTTGATAATGTTCTGTAAAGGGTTTCAGCCTATAGTTCAGTATGATGGCGCAGAGTTTTTCAAAGCACTGGGGT